CTACAGACACTACCAGTCGGGGCTTGATTTTTAAACCATAATAATAATATATAAGGAGAAGGCATTATCATACACATCGTCAGTCCGTTACATTCCTACACAAATTATGGAGGCCATCAATATGTCTGAAGGCAACGCTACTGACCTGGTGATGCTGCCCACATCCATGGGGTTGCCGAGCCTGTGGAGCCGCCACGACCATGAAGTACTGCTCTTAGTGTTCATGTGCTGTGTAGACCCGGCTTTACTTCTATTCGGCCTTACGTCAAACATAATCAACTTTCTTGTTTTCTACAAGATGGGCGTTCATGATACAGTGGGCGTGTCTTTCCTCGCCCTATCTGCATCCGATTTAGCTTTCCTTGTCATCTCAGTATCTGAGACAGTTTGCTTCCTACCTGGACGGATTTTACCAACGGCTCTTCTAAACACCATTGACTTGTTCGGTCTTGGCATCCTGCTCTCTACATGTAGTCCGGTTTTCTACAATTTCTCGATTTTCATAACAACGCACATGGCAGTCATTCGTTGTTTCTGTGTGACTTTTCCTCTACGGTTCGGCCTAATGTTTACTAAATTTAGAACAAGTGTTGTCCTTACCGTCGCGTTTATTACCATCGTTGTTTTGTACATACCAATTCTTTCTTTTCAAGGCATGACCTACCGCTTCGACACAAGAATAAATAACTCTCGTTTGGTCAACTACTTCACACCACAGAGGGCTGTTTGGCACCCAATACACATTATGATCTTCAAAAACATTTATATCAATATATGTTTCACTATCTGTTGCATTGCAACGGTTATCCTTATTGTCAGCCTCTATTCGGCCACCAGAATCCGGAGTAAAATTACAGGTGTGTACCAGAGTCAGGGCAAACCAACCTTAAAAGAAACTGCACCCAAAGTCACGAAGACCTGCACGGCAACAAGTTCTGTGACCTCTCCCAAACAGCAACCAACACCAATGGCGAGTTCGGATGGGGAAGCAGATGTTCGTACCATGCCCTCTAAACAGTCCTCTAAAGACGTGCAAGTGGTCAAGTCTGTTGTACTAATCGCTTTGATCTTCCTCGGCACTCATCTCCCTGTGATGCTCGTCAGCGATATCATCAAGCAGTTTGAGCCAGAATTCCGTTATCGTGGTCGCTATTCCAATCTAGCCCTTTCGTCTTTTGTTATGACGAGATCGCTTGTCATCTTAAGTAGTGCGTGCAATATCTTTGTTTATTTTAACTTCAACACCAAGTTTCGAAATACTTTAAAGTCTATCTTTGTGCCTCTCTGTAAACTGGTCAAAATTAACACATAAGCGACGACAAAATTACGACTATGGTTTAAACGTTTTTGAATGGTTCTGATGTCGCTGGTAGAAATGTTAGAGATGAAAATGATCCCGTTATTTTTAGCATTCGTAACATTTGCAAACATGTTTTTATAGTCCTCTTCATCTAAACCGTCATGGCGAATTTTGTAATGGCTTTTTTTTTTTAAAGAATGTGTTTTTGCACCTTCCCCACTTCCTCTCAACTCTTTTCTTTCTCTTGAGGCTGGCTTTGAGACTTTGATCTCAGCGACTACGAATTTTAAGTCGATATGTATAATGAAAATTGAAACGCATGCCCATGCCTTAAAAAGCACCTAAACTTTACGTCCACTTTGCAAATGAAATTCTAAACATGCTGCAGTATCTAAATTAAACATCCTTCAAACGTGTGTTTGTTTGTTTTCTTTAATACTGTTTAAATACAATACCATACCATACCACACCACACCACACCACACCACACCACACCACACCACACCACACCACACCACAC